GGGATAGTGGGACAGGGACTGGGATAGTGGGACAGGGAGCGGGATAGTGGGACAGGGACTGGGATAGTGGGACAGGGACTGGGATAGTGGGACAGGGACTGGGATAGTGGGACAGGGAGCGGGATAGTGGGACAGGGACAGGGATAGTGGGACAGGGGACAGGGATAGTGGGACGGGGCAGGGATAGTGGGACAGGGACTGGGATAGGGCACTGGGAGAGTGCAATAGAGCACAGGAGAGAGGGATAGTGGGACTGGAGAGTGCAGTGGGACAGTGCAGTGGGACAGTGCTCCAGTGCTCCGTGACTCTGCACCAGGCCCAGGGACAGTGCCTGGGGACAGCACACTGGGATGTTCACCCCCCTGGGCTGTGCAGCAGGACAGGGTGGGTGGGAAGTGCCAGGGCACAGCTCTTGTCTGGGACACTGGCACAGGTTGCCCAGAGAAGCTGTGGCTGCCCTATCCCTGGAAATGTCCAAGGCCAGGCTGGATGGGACTTGGAGCAACTCGGGGTAGTGGAAGGTGTCCCTGCCCATGGCAGGGGGTGGGAATGGGGTGATCTTTAAGGTCCCTTCCAACCCAAACCATTCTGGGATTCCATGATCAGGATGATACCAGGCATGGGGACAATGCATCCCCCCCAGGTGGATGGACCAGGGGCCTGGGACACTGCACTGGGAAACTGGGATGAAGTACTGGGACAGTGCACTGGGGAACTGGGATGTGGTGCTGGGACAGTGGCGTGGGGGCCTTGGCCAGGGGCACAGTCCCAGTGCATGCAGAGTGGGAACATCTGGCTCAGGCAGAGCAATTGTTAATTATTATCCAGCTTTATCCACTGTTACTTTTATCCAGTGTATACTTTTATCCACTGTTAATTATTATCATCCAGCTTTATTAATTATGATAGTGAGGAAGGGGCAGAATTTGGGGTCCCCGAGGTGAAGCTTTTCCTCCTTCTCTTCTCCTTCCCCCTCTGCTGCGAGGGCTTTCCTTGAAGGCAGGGCACTGTGGGGACATGGGGACATGGGGACATGGGGACATGGGGACATGGGGACATGGGGACGTGTCCCTGAAGGTACGAGATGCCCTGGGGATGTGGGATGTTCTGGGGTGCCCTGAGGACTGCCTGGGTCCCGTGTTCTCCCAGGGCTGGATTCTGGGATTGGGGTGCAGAGCAGCTTTCAGCAGCCCCATCGTTGCCTCACACCCCAGTTTTTCAACCTTAATCCCACCTCCAAATCCCAAATCCAAGTAGGGCCAATGCCCCACCCCCCCAAACTCCCCTAAATCCCATCCCTCAACCCCTGGAGAAACGTTTCCTTTCTAAAAATTGAAGGTAAATAAATAAATAAATAAAATGAAATAAATAAGAGACACAACAAATAAAATCAGCAAAGCCTTTTAAAGCCCCAGCCATTTCCGAGCTCTGACTCAGGATTCCTGCTCGGAACGGCCACAAGGCCTCGCTGGCTCCCACTCCCGGCAAATCCAGCCCCGAATCCCGAGCGCTGATTCACGGCACACGTGCTGTGCTATAAGCGGCCGGGAATGCTGTTTTCCATGGGATCCTTTCCAACTCGCCGGCGGGCGGGAGAAAATAGCAACGCTGCGGGCGGGGAGAGGGGGAATCGCACCGGGATTTGTTTGTGCTGTGGATTTTGCAGCGAGGGGTGTTTATCCCGGTTCATTTCACCGGGTCAGGGCATCTGTTGCTGAATTCCCGGGAATGCAATTTCCATGGGAGGAAGAGAACTTGGAGCAGAGCCCGGTTATGGGGTTGCAAGTGAATTTTTTGGGGGGACTGTGGTGCCCCCGTGTCCCCAGGGTATTCAGGAACACAACCAAGGCACTGCCCAGATGTGCCCCCAGCTGTCCAGATGTTGTGTGAGTTGCCCAGGTCTTGAACAGCAGCCCTGAGATAATGCCCAGGCTGACCAAATGCTCCCCTGCAGGTGCAAATGTTGCTCTTGGGTAACCAGACGTTGCCCCAGGAACGCCCAGGTGTTGCTCTGGCTGTCCAAATGTTGCTTGAGGTACACAGGTATCACTCAGGATGCCCAGATATTGCCAAAAAATGCCTGGGTGCTGCCCTGCAAGTACAGGTGTTGCTCCAGGATCACCTGAGATCAACCAGGATGCCCAGAAGTTGCCCCAGGGTGTCCTGGTGTTGCTCCAGGTGTCCAGATGTTGCTCCAGGATGCTCCAACATCCCCCAGGGTGCCCAGACACTGCTATGGGTGCCCTGACGTTGCCCTGCATGTACAGATGTTTCACCAGGACAACCAGAGATCACCCAGGAGGTCCAGAAGTTGCCCCAGAGTGCCCCAGTGTTGCCCCAGGGTGCCCAGATGCTGCCCAGATGTTGCTCTAGGTTGCCCAGCTGTCACCCCTGGCTGCCCAACTGTCCCACCCAGGGTCTGGCCGTGCTGCTGCCACACTGACCCTAGAGAAAGTCACCTCCTTTCCCTGTCCTGCAGCTCCTGGTCCCCACAGCCTGGCCAGGCCTCCCTGCTCTCCTGGACACCGTGGATTTTTGGAAGAAGCCTGTGGCCACCCATCCCTCCCTCCCCACCCACCCTCAGCAAGTGGTGGTTGTGGGAAAGGTGTGTAAAAAGGCAACAGGTGACAGAAGGAGAGGGAACGGCCTCAAGCTGTGCCAGAGGAGGGTCAGGTTGGACATCTGAAAGAATTTCTTCATGGAAAAGGTGGTCAGGCACTGAAAGGGGCTGCCCAGGGGGGTCAAGGAGTCCTCATCCCTGGAGGTGTCCAAGGAAGGACTGGACATGGCACTCAGTGCTCTGGGCTGGTGACAAGGTGGGAATGGGTCACAGGTTGGGCTGGATGATCTTGGAGGGCTTTTCCAACCTCAGGGATCCTGTGATATGTGTGTTTGTGGCTGCACATACACATGGCTGCACACACACACACACACGCACACACACACACACACACACACACACACACGTAAGGACCTGCACACACGTGTGGGACTCTGGGACTGGCACTGCCCAGCTCATGCTGCTGCCACTCCCTGGTTCCCGCTGCTGTCCCACCAGCAGGGACAGTCACCTGGGGACCCAGCACCTGCCTGCAACCCCTCAGCCCTGGTGCCACCCGGTCCATGGGTTGGGGACCGAGCGGGCACGGCAGGACTGGGTCCCCAGGTGCGAGGGCAGAGGGGGTCCCTTGGTCCCTTCTGTCCCCGGGTGTGACGGCAGAAGGGGTCCCTTGTGTCCCCACGTCCCCCAGATGGTGGAAGGGATCCCCTGGTCCCCACCGGCGGTACCGGGGTAGC